CCAAGGGGGCACAGGTCACTCATTGTCCCCGAAGACTGTGTCTATAACCCCGCCACCATTCTGGCTACACGTTCCTCTTAACAGAGGTTTGGTTGTGGCCTACGAAGTATCTCCTTATGCTGGACTTCCTCAGCGATGATGCCAAGCTCAAGTTTGCCCCGACTATTTGTTCTCCACCCTCACATAGGAATCGAAAATGATGCCATCAGCCTGATGCCAGCCGACGCCCACTTGGAGTAACTCAACAGAGAACCGCAGGGGTGGGTGGAAACGTTAAGTGTTGAGGAACGTGGTAAATACGTAAGGGATATTTCATCGCTTTCTGTAGCGGGACTTGCCCTTAGGGCCCTTCTGCTTCTTAATGGACTTGTCGACTCCTCTAGCCTTCGCTTGGGCGGCAGGGGCAGAGGGTCCTTTAGAGACCTGACGACACCCGTCCCACACAGGTTCAAATCCCACAAGGCCCTATTTCTACCTTCTTATTGCCCTTCTTCTTCCTACTAGGGGCCATATCAGTTCGGTCCTCTTCACCCTCGAAGCCAGCACGCATGCGCCCACCTCTGTCCTTCTTCCCTGCACCACACAACCTCCACATACCCCCAAGGGCCACCTCCCCTCAGCCGCCTACTCATCCGTTTAGCCAGGCCCCTCTGCATGCCCTCCTCATGCCTCCGCTCCGCCCTCTCCTGATCCTTCTTCGCCTGCTGAACTTCCAACTTCCTAGCAGCTCGTTTCTCCGATCTCGTCTTGGGCACCTTCGACGCTGAAGTTAACAACACTAGATGATCCGAAACACAGCGACAACCGAGTTGTGCATATCACACATACTACTCAGGTAAGGGGGAGAATCGGCTCTAACCTTACCAGAATCAATAGCCTCAGCACCGGCGCCCTTCCTGATCCACTGCTGTCTAGGTCGCCTGTCGATCTCCTTTCGATGTGTCTGGTGACCGCCGATACATGACCATTCAGCTACTACTAAGGTGAGGGACTTACCTTCATATTGTCCACCTTTTTTGCCATCACATCAGCCAAACGAAGCTCCCTCTCTACCGATTCCTCCTGCATGATTTGCTTCACCTTATCCTCACTCTCCGTTATTTTAACTGCGAATAGACCTTACCACTCCTTCCCCACCAAAGGCCCCCCACCTGCCATGTC